GTGTGAGCCTCATTTTGTGCTTGCTTAGCTTGTATCTTCCTAGGCTGCAGGTCCTGGGTCAAGCAACCCCCCCCCACACACACACCTTTTCCAGGGCCAGCTGGAGCCTGCAGGCACTCTGCCCAGTGACACTGGCAAAGCCGGTTTGGGGCTTGACAGCCCCAAGCATGCTTGCACTGAGAATGCAGGACCAGACATGCTCTGTCTGCTGTGGCCCTTGGATCTGCCCGCTCCTCCACCCCCATGCACCCTCTCTCACTCCTGCTCACTCCTTACTCACTTGGCAGACATCATCCCCCACCTCCCACCCAGTTCCTGGCCCAGGCCTGTGCTGGGTGGGGCCTGGGCCTGGAATTGCTTTATATTTTAAATTGCCTGTATAAGTTGGGTGGTCAGAGTCTCTGCTGGGAGCTCATGCAGTACAGGGTGCAGGGAGAGAAGGGGTTGGCGCCCAGCCCCTGGGATGAATAGACCTGTGGTTTAGGCTACCTCTCCTTCCTGGAATGCCCTAGGTGGGGCCCATCCATCTCCCTAACTACCCACTCACCCACTTGTTATCCACTCATCTACCCCCACACTGCCATCTTCTATCTGTCTGTACATCCATCTGTCCACCTACTTAGCTCACCCACCTGCCTATCTCTCAGTGGGGCCCATCCATGTGCATATCTGCCCATTCACTTACCTGTCTATCCTTTCCCTCATCCACCTACCTAGTCAACTTTATCCATCCATCTACAAATCCGTCCTCCTATGGTGATGAACATGCATGGATGATGGATGGATGGATGCATCCATGCATCCATTCATCTTCTAGCCATGTACCCTGGGCAGTATTCTGGAGGCTGGAGACACATCAGATAACTAGCTGGACACAATCCCTGCCTTTGCAGTTGGTTGATCCACAGGGCAGCCAGAAAAGCAGCAAATAAGGGACATGGTCTGCTAGTGGGAACCAAGAGCTGTGGACCCTTCATAAAGCAGGGAGGGGAAATGGGTGGGCTGCTAGTGGGTGGGCATCCAGGAAGGTGCTCACACTGAAAGATTGGCTGGCATTGGGAGTGGGGTGGGCTTACAGTTCGGGGAAGAGGGTGGGAAAGGAGAGAATAGAGGAGGAAGAAGGCAGGAGGATCTGAGAGGCAGAGCCCGTGTCGGAAGTGGGTGTGGCTGCAGTTCATGCTGGTGAGGAGCAGGTGGTTGTCCGTTTGTCCGTTTGGAGTACTTGGTGCTGAGTACTGCAGTACTCAGGCAGAGTTCACTAATTAATGGAGCCATCTTCTCTCTGTATCGAGAGCCATAGCAGAGCCCTTGGCCCTTCCCCTGCTGTCCCTCATGTCATGCTAAAGTAGATCTCCAGTGTCCTGTGTCAAATGTACGTATTTCTGCATAGCCATGAACCTGTAACCTGCCTAAAGCTCACTGTTCCTTCCTGGCAGCGACCCCCGCTTTGCCCTGGTATGGTTTGCTGGTGAGGTTGAGGTGAGTCATATGGGCCGCCTCCCTGCTGTGCTGAGTGGCCATGCCAAGCCTGGGGCCTGTTGCTCAGTAGGTGCCCTGCATACAGTAGCCACTGCTTTGATGGGCAGCAGATACGCAGGGCATGCTTGCTGGGCTCTGGGGCCTATTCTTAGGGCTTCACAGACAGGAACTTAATTCATTCTCATGGCTGTTCTTTAAAGTAGGCTGTTTGTGTATTCTGATTATATAGAAGAGGGAACAGGCACAGAGAGGTAGAGAAACTGTGTCAAGGTCACACAGTAAAGAAGGGCTGGAGCTGGGTTTTGAATCAAGGTGGTTCTGCTCTTAGTCCTCATGTTGAGGGAGAGATCTGTTAGCCCAGATAAAGAGGGGGTACCGATTTTCATCTGGACTGACTGTGCTCAGTCGGCCCCTGAGGCAGGAGCAGCATGTGGGAAGGCCCAGCCTCCGGAGCGGAGCGTGTGGATGGGAGGTGGTGGGGATGGAGCAGGCCCCCAGCAGGCAGTGGTGTTTGCACCATCTTGCTGACCACTCATGTTCCCTTGTCCCCACTTCAGGGCAAGGGAAAGGAGATGGCACCTGTGGACTAAGGGTGGAGTTTAGGACTGCTTGTGCAATGGGACCTGGCCACTTGGTGTTCTGCCCACCCATGTCCCCAAGGGAGATGCCACCTGGGTGTGGGTGGGGAGGAGGGGGCACTGTGTTCCCAGAAGCAACCAGAGCTGTTGGCAGGGAACAGCGGGCACCGTGGGCAGGGGCCGGCTGGCAGCTCCCCTCAGGGCTCATCCGCCTGCCACCAGTGGGGAGGGGCCGTCCAGATGACCTTGAAGAGGCTGGGGAAAGATTGGAACTTGTTACCTCAGTGTCCCACCAAGGTCACTCCCTCATCCTGAGCTTGTGCTCTGTGCCCAGACACTGGCTGAGGCGCAGAGGGAGTGTGGCCTGCCTAGGCTCACACAGTGATCTCATTGATAAGCCATCTTGGGGTGTCCCTTAGGCCTTGTACCAGCAGCTTCTCAACTAAGTTGGGACAGCTCCAGCTCCTGCCTATCCTCCTTGCCTCTTTCTAGGACAGCGTGGAAAGGAAGGGTTTCCTGGACCCTGTCTTTAGATGTAAAACCATGAGGCCGCAGGCTGCTGAGAACTCCATTTTGGGTGGTGTGAACTCTTACAGGAGGGTCTGCCCTGCCCCTGCTCCTGTCTTGCCCAGAGGTCTGCCTTGGAGCCATCCATGTGCTGGGTCCCAGGAAAGACCATCCCAGCTGCAGGTGCTTTTCTTACATCCTTTTGCAGCCCCTGGGGGCAGCCTGATGTAGGAAAAACCTGGGGGATTGTCACAGGAGTCACCAGCTGTCACAGGATGGGACCTTAGACTCATCTGTTTCTCCTCATCTGTAAAATGGGCTTAAGCATGACACATAGGGCCAGGCAGTCGTGGTACACACCTTTGATCCTAGCACTTGGGAGGCAGAGACAGATTTGTGAGTTCAAGGCTAGCTTGGTTGCAGAGTGAGGCGAAGGAAGACTACACACAGAAACCCTGTCTCAAACAAGAAAAAAGAATGACACATAGGACTGGTATGGTGGCACACACCTTTGATTCCAGTACTTGGGAGGGAGGCAGAGGCAGAGTTCAAGGTCAGCCTTGAATTCTCGGATAGCCAGTGCTATGCAGTGTGACTCTTATCTCAAGAAAACTCATGAAAGTGCTGGGGATGTCGCTGTGTGGTACAGTGCTTACCCAAGGCCCTGAGTTCAGTCCCTACCACTGTGTAAACTGAATTTGGGGAGGTGAAGGCAGGAGGGCAGAACTTCAAGGTCATCCTCCTCAGCTGCGTGAGTTTGAGGTTAGCCTGGGCTTCATGGAGCCCTGTGAGCATCTCAGTCACTGCTGCTGTAGTGTATATTTCCTTAGCCCTTCATCCTTTCCACATTGTTAAGCCACTTGTGGAAGGCTAACCAGGGAAGCAAGCAGTTCCCATGGTGATGCTAAAGACAGAGTCAGGGAGCAGGTGCCTGCCCACAGGGAGCCCCCGCAAGAGTGATGCCGCAGGGAGAACATCCCTCCCGTGAGATGGGTGACACACTCATAGGGCCTTTGCCCCACCACAGGTGGCCCCTGCTGGGACCTATCTGTCTGAGTGTCACCTGGGGACCCCTCCTTTGGCCCCACAGGCGCCTGTGCTACCCCTGCCCCCATCTGGGAGGCTGGAGGGGAGGATGTGGTAGCTTGGCTCCTGGGGCCTGTAGTGTGTACCCCTCTTTCTGTCTGGTCTCTGTTCCCCTTTGGAAAAATGAGCTGGCCCATGAGCTTGGGCTTCCCTGTGAGGTCGGCTGGGACAAATGACCTTGGGAAGAGGGCTAGAAGGTAGCCGAGACCTCAGATGGTGGCCCAGGGCACCTCACTTAGCTTCCTTGAGTATTTCCTGGAAACTCTGCAGACGGACATAGCTGTCTGTCTGTCCCTATGGTCAGGGCCTGGGAGAACTGAGGAGCTGGCAGTGAGGGTCACAGGAAGGTCCCTTGCCGAACAGCCTGTGGGCTAGGGTGCTCCTGCAAAAATGAGGATGCAAAAAAAAAAAAAAAAAAAAAAAAAAAAAAAAGGATGCTTCTAAGGACTTGTCCAGGATACCCCAAACCATGACACTCCCCTGCCTGGCTGGGTAGGTGCCCGTGGGGACCCCTGCACTGCCCAATCTACCTGCCACCCCCTACTCATTCCTACTTGGCAGACATGCCTACTTTCCCAGTGCTCAGTGCTGAGAACAGCCTAAGGGAGAATGGTGGGCAAACACAGGCCCTGTTAGCGCTTTTACTAAGGGATGGTCCATGGTGTAGGAGACTGTGGATCCCAGACAATCCTTGCTTGCTTCCTAGTGCTGTCTCCTAGCTGCTGGGTGACCGACCATAGGTAGACAGCTAGACTTCTTTGTGCCCCCGTTTTCTCTTCTATGGCAGAGCTGATCACATGGGTGGGGCGGAGCATCCCGGATTCATGCATGAAGTGTACCATTGAGCATGATGTCTGTCTCTGGGAGTTTGTCCTCTGGGCTAGAGGGGGAGGAAGGAGGGCCAGAGTGCTGGGTGGCATTGAACAGTCCCTCTCCTGACCTGTGGGGTGGGGGCTGGGTGAGGTCTGCTGGTCACAGCACCTCTGTGGTTCTTCCTTTGTGTGTCCCCTCCCTTAGCTGCAGCCAGCTGGTGTGTAGTAGGTTCTCAGCCCAGTGACTCTCAAGGCTGGGTGGCTAGGAGACTCCCTTTGTCAGAGACTCCATCCCCACTGTGGGGACCCTGCTCCTCCCTGCAGCCCTTCCTCTGCAGGAAACCTGCCTGCTCTCGGCTGCTAGAGCACACTGCTGCTCTCACACGCACACCCACTCAAAGGCTCTGGGTGACTGGGACAGTCACCTGGTGTCCATAGTAACACTGATCACTGCCGCAGACTGTGGCTTACCACAGCCATGTGGAGAAGTCCCTGACACACATCCTTCTTCAGGACAGAGTACAGAGGCTGAGAGCACTGACTGGCCTGTGCAGCCATGACAGACTGAACGGGGACCTGAACGGAGGCAGGTAAGCTGGGTGCATGTCCGTTTCTGACTCAGGGAGTCGGGGGGGGGGGTGTCTCATGTAGTCTAGGCTGGCTGTGAACTATGTAGCCTATTAGCCTAGGCTAACCTCCTACTGGCTAGGTAACCCAACTTAATACAAAAGCACAAGCTCACCTCCAACTGACTGTGTAACCCAGGTGATTTAGAACTTCCTGGAGCCTAGGCTGGCCCTCAGCTCACTGTGTAATTCAGGCTGCTCCCAAACTCTGCCATTGTAATTTGGGTAGTGTTGACAGTATCTTTTGCAGAAGCAGTAGTCGTGTGTGCCACCCACCCTAGTTGCCATCTCTCTCCTACTATCCTGGAGACGTTGCTGGCTTTGAGGCTAAATTACAGAAATATCAATTTGCCAGTCTGTTCGGTGAACACTGATTTCCAGAATAGCTTACAAGCATCACAACAATATAAGATAAATTCCCATTAATCCATTTGAAGTGATCCATCGCATGGTCTTGCCTGAGCTGATTGTTTCCTTTCATTTAACATAATACTTTCAAGATCTACTTAGTTGGGGCATCATGTATCCAGCTGTGCCAAGACTTCTTGCCAAATAATATTTTACTGTGTGGATATCCTCTGTGTCTGTCTGTCCCCATCCTCTGTCTTTCTGTGTGTAGGTATGTGGCTGTGCATGCCTATGTGAGCACACTTGGAGACTGGAGTTTGATGTCTTCTTCAATCACTTGTTCATCTTGATTTTTTGAGATAGTGTTTGTCATTGAACCTGCACCTCACTGCCTCAGCTAGACTAGGTCGGGAAGTCCCCGGGATCCATCCCTGGGGTCACAGGCCTGTGCTGTCATGGCCAGCTTTATATAGTGTTGTGCATCTGAACTCGGACTCTGGTGCTTGCATAGCAGGTACTTTGCCCACTGAGCCATCTCCCCACAGCCCATATAGGTCTATTTTTAACACATTAAAATGTTTTTGAGGGCTAGTGAAATGACTGCATGGGTGAAGATGCTTGACACCAAGGCTGGAAACCTGAGTGTGATCCCTGGTGCCCACAAGTAGATGGAGAGAGCTAACTCTTCCAGGTTGTCCTCTGACCTCCACATGCACAGAGTGGCAGGAGCATCCCTTCCCCAAACACACACACACACACACACACACACACTGTAGGGTTAGATGGATGGCTCACTGGCTGCTCTTCCAGAGGACCTAGGTTCAATTCCAAGCACCCAAATGATGGCTAGCAACTATCTGTAACTGCAATTTCAGGAGACCCAACATCCTCTTCTGCCCTCCTTGGGTGCAAGGTATGTGCAGGGTACATAGTCATACATGTAAACAAGACACTCACATGAAATATCTCCAAAAATGAAATGTAATAAAAATATTTTAAAATTTACATAAAATTGAATGTGTTTATACATAATGTAATTGATTTATTGATTGATTCTGTGCTGAGATAGAACCTTCCCTCACTCCTGCTTGGCAGTTCCCCCCCCCCCCAACCACAGTGTGTATGTGTTTTATAATGGTCAAACCTGAGTGAACCTGTCTGTCTTAGACATTCCATTTCTAAACTGTGAGAACATTCAGATTCACTCCTTGAAGCTTTTGAAATGTGCAGTGCATTGTTACCTGTTGGCACCCAGCTGTTCAGGGACAGGCACGCAGAACGTTGGTCCTAGAACATTCAGCACACTGATCAATCTTTCGCCATCCCTTGTTTTCTCTTTCCTCCTCAGCTCCTGGTAAACACTGTTCTATCCCATCTTCTATGATGTCAACATTTCTTTTAAAATTTATTTTGTCATATAGATGTTCTGTCATTCATATATATATATATATGTGTGTGTGTGTGTGTGTGTGTGTGTTTTCTGTATACCAGAAGAAGGCATTGGATCCCATAGGACTATAGTTATAAACTGCTGTGAACTGCCATGTGGGTGCTGGGAATTGAACCCAGAACCTCAGCAGACAGTGCTGTTAATCACTGAGCTATTTCTCCAGCCCACGATGTTAACAGTTTTTGTTTTTGGTATCAGATTTCATTATAGATGGTTGTGAGCCACCATGTGATTGCTTAGAATTGAACTGAGGACCTCTGGAGGAGCAGCTAGTGCTCTTAACCACCGAGCCATCTTTCCAGCCCCATGATATCAACACTAAAAAACAAAAACACCCCAGAAAAACAAAACATTTTTCTTTTAAATATATGTATGTATGTGTATGTGTATGTGTGTGAGTGTGAGTGCAGGTTCCTGAAGTGGCCACAAGAGGGCATTGTTCCTCTGGAGCTGGAGTTAGATATGATGGCAAGCCTCTGTATGGATGCTAGGGACTGAACTTGGGTCTTCTGCAAGAGCAACAAATATTTTTAACTGCTGCCTCTTCAGCTCCAGATAGTAACATTTTGAGGCTCTGCATGTGGTTGAGATCAGGTGGGACTTTTGCTGCCAGGCATATTTCACTTCCCACATGTCCTCCAGTTCCATCCATGTTAATTCAAATGACAGAATGTCCTCCTTTCTTTATTCATTGGTTGGTAGATATTGGGCTGTTTTTGGCTGTTGTGAACACTGCTGTGATGGATGTGGAAGTTACTATGTCCTTCTAATGTACTCATTTTATTTTGAAACTGGAGGGCAGTTTTATAGGAGTTTGAGAGAGAAACGTCAGGATAGGCACGATAAAGACCTCGGGTCCCAGGAGGAGGGAGATGGATAAGATTAAGAGAAAAGCATGCTTCCTGAGCTGGAGGCCAGGAATCCAGGTGAGCTCCGTAATGGACATCTGCCAGCCAATTGCACGGCATTAGGAAACTCTTCAGATGGAGTAAGGTTGCAGAGTAGTGCCCAAGTGCCAGGCCAAAGGAGAGGAGAGGGGACGAGGAAAAAGTGGAACTCGGGCAGTGGGTGGGCACAGCAGTGAGCTCTAAGCCCAGTGTTACTCCTCTGATTGTGGCCAGCAGGTGTACACTCTACTCACATTTCCTCAGTTGATAGGCATTGTGCTGTTTCCGTGTGAGGCCACAGTGAATGCTGCCCTGTGTGCCCTGCTGTGGGGTGTGGGTTTTGTGTGGTTGTATCTTGTAATTGCTGCTGATGTGTGCTTGGGAGTGGACATCCTGGATGGTGTGGTTAGTCTCTATTGAACCTTTTAAAGGAAGGCCACTGTTTTCCAAGTGGCTGCATGGCTTGATGCCCCACAACAATAGAGGAAGGCCCAGTGCCCCGCGTTCTTGACAGCGCCTGCTGCTGGCTGCCTTTCTGATAACAGATGTTCTGTGGGTGGGACACGGCATCTCACATGACTGATTTGCCTTTTCTTGTGGGTGTTGGTGATGCGTTTCTGTCCATGTCAGCTGCAGGTTGGTTTTTGGGAGAAATGCCTGTTTGTGTCCTTTGCCCATTTTTAAATTGGATTGTGGTTGTTGTTCAGTTGTAGTGCTGGAGTTTACACCTGGGTCTCCACTCATGGCAGCCATGTGGTCTGCCACTTAGCTCCTGGCCCAGGATTTATTTTTTCTTTTTACAAGTTTCGTGTGTGTGTGTGTGTGTGTGTGTGTGTGTGTGTGTGTGTGTGTGTGTGTATGAGTACAAGTTACTTCTTGGCCAGAAGAGGTTGTCAATTCCCCTGGAACTGTGGTTACCAGTGGTTGTAAGCTGCCTGATATGGGAACTGAACCCTGGTCCTCTGTAAGGACCAGGCACAATGCCTATCAACTGAGGAAATGTGAGTAGAGTGTACACCTGCTGGCCACAATCAGAGGAGTAACCACTGAGCCATCTCTCCAGCCTTAGGATTTTTTGTTTGTTTTGGTTTTTTTTTTTTTGAGACAGGGTTTCTCTATGTAGCCCTGACTATTCTGGAACTCTCTCTGTAGACCAGGTTGGTCTTGAACTCACAGAGATCAGCCTGCCTCTGCCTCTGGAGTGCTGGGATTAAAGGCGTGTGTCATCACTGCCTGGCCAGATTTTTTTTTTCTTTTATCCTCCCCCCATTTTTTATTTTTTTTAAATTTCATTTTCCATTCCAACCACAGTTCTCTTTCCCACCTCTCCCCTCCCCCTTTACCTCCTCCTACCTTCCCTCACCTCCCCCTAGCCCACCCCCAATCCACTCCTTCTCAAGGGTAAGGGCTCCCATGAGGGATCAACATAGTCTGGCACAATAGGTTGGGTCAAGGTCCAGCCCCTCTCCCATGCATTAAGCCTGAGCATGGCATTACATCCTAAGGAATGGACTCCAACAAGCTAGCTCATGAACAAGATTTGTATCATGGTTATACTGCCAGGGCCCCTCAGTAGCCCAAGCCTCACAACTGTCTCTCACATATGGAGGGCCTAGTTCGGTCCCCTGGAGTTTCCACAGTTGTAGGTCTAGAATTAGTGAGTTTCCACGAGCTTGGTTCAGCTGTCTCTAGATTCTCCTTCATGATCTTGACCTCCCTTGCTCATATGTTCCCTTCTCCCTTTAGAATTTTTTTAAACGTTGATTTTTCTCTTCCTTTTCTTCCCGGACCCCCCCCCCCGTTTCTTTCTGTGCGTTGCCCAAATTATCATGGCACATGTGTGATAGTCGGAGCACAGTTTGGGGAGTTGTTTTTGCTCTTTCTACCATGTGAGTCCTGGTAGTTGAACTCAGATCTTTGGACTTGGCAGAAAACACCTTTACCTGTCTGAGCCATCTTGATAGTCTAGGTTTCATTATATCTTCTAGATATAAATCCCCTGTTACGTGATTTGGAAATATCTTCTTCCATGTTTTGGGTTGTGAAGGTGTGGGAGCTTGACCCCACTGATAACATATCATCCACAGTCAGAAGTCAGAAAGGGTGAATGCAAGCTGCTGCCCAGCTCAGTCTCCACTGATATAGTCCAGGGTCCCAGCCAATGGTGCCACCCTCAGTGGACATGTCTCCATCTCCACTTACACAGTCCAGGATCCCAGCCAGAGAATGGTGCCGCCCACAGTGGGCGTGTCTCTACTGCAGATAAATCAATCACAATA